GCATACTTGGTTCACTATTGCGTCTATACTATGGTTCTGTTTGAAGCAATTTCTCTCCAAAGTCTCCTAGCCAAAGAAATTTCTTGAGATTCTGACGAAGACAAACAGACAGGCCGAGAAGTGAGGAGGATGTTTTGATCATTACGTCGCTATGGACTGTTTCAATGACAGTGCTTTGTTCCTTCTGCCTGTTTTCTTATGTCATCACGATATTGATGCTTGCCCTGCTGACCTCTTCAGCAAGATGATGAGTTTCTGCAGGTGTTTGCTGTGACCACTGGCTAGACTAAGCAATCAGGATACAGGGAAACCCATTGAATATCCTTTGGGAATAGTAAGGTGGGACACCTGCAATATGTTTCAGGTGAATTGATTTTCCTTTAAAGACACCTTATCTCTGTGGCTTCCTTTTTGATTGGACAAGCATCTTCTAAAATACTGTGGTCATTAAACCTACGGGCATACCAAAGCTCAGAGGGAGCGAAAGGTATTGCAGGTTCACGATGGGGTATGGGCTGACCTGTGAAGGTCACCTGTGATTTTCATCGTCTGCCGATTTCTGCTCCAGTCTTTGGTGCTCAGCCCACTGTGAGGGCAGAAGCTGCATCTTGATCAGGACTTTCCAAAAGATAGCTTCGAGTATTTGGTTCAGCTCACTGTAGAGGTGGTAGAGTAAAATTCTGCTGGTATAACTCCTGATGGCATTCACTGACCTCGGGATGGTTGTACTAGATTTTTGCTGGTCTACCCATGACATTGAAGGAGGTTCCTGAAGTGCTGGAATCTTCAAATAATACTTCTCTTACAGAGTGTTCAAGAACTCCAGGCTATATCCAAAACTTAGTGAAAGAAAGGGACTTCCATTGATTTCACTGGGCTTTGAATCTGGCCCTCACTATTTTATTAATGGGATTTGCCTTGTAGAATGGAGTATTTGCTGCATGGCTGGTAGAGTTTTAAGGCTTCAGAGACCATCATCTGTGCCAGAAACTGCCTCTAAATGTGAGCACTCTCAAAGGTCAGGGCTGGAGAGCACTGAGGATCCAGTACTCTGGGCTGGGCTCACGTCCAGCAAATGCATTTTAGGCTTTAAGCTTCAGCAGGGTATGTTTAAGGATATTTTCAGTATTGCTTTTATGAGGAGGAGAGCGAGAATTGTTATTGACTCTTTTCCAACTGTTGATATATAAATATCTGCCAGGGGAAAAAACACCTCAGTAACCATGGGCAAATTGTGAGGGACAGAAAAGATGCTTTACCTAAGCTGAGCACGTGAAGTAGAGAGTCTCACAGCAACATCTGCCCCTCTGGGTTTTCTTCTTCCTTCTCTGTCCATAGATACCTATATCCACAGATATATCTGTGTTATCTATACCAAACAGCCCTAAATTTGTGGCCACAATTCAATTTACATAATGATCAGGAGACCACCCAGAAACCGGCAGGGAAGAACAGATCATATTTGGAAGCAGACAGTCCTGAAGTCCTACCCGTGTCTCCAGTATGCTGCTAATTGTCCAGTCATTAATGCTACATACACGATTACCTGTTCAGCCACCCTTGAGACCGTACACTGCTCCCACCCCACCGCAACCACCCCCCATCATCGACAGCCTGGGAACAAAACCATCAACCATTCTTTGCCTAAAAACTAAATCACCAGTTCTCCCAGGGACTGCTCTAAATTTTGTGAAGAAAAAATCCCCCAAGAAGAAAAGTTAACAAAACAGCGTATGAAAGATACTAAATGTTTAAAAATATGCTGGCAGCAGTTATATAAGCTCTTTTCTGTTCCAAAGTACATATCGGAAGGATATAACTAGGACAGTGAAAATGTAAAATAAATATAAATCGCCAGCTTGGAAGAAAAAATGATGTTCATCCCACAGTCTTAAAACCATTCATGTGCAGTGATTTTTTTTACAGTTTTCTAATTTTGTAAATTATTTATAAAGTGTTGTAATGCTTCTTATATTAATTTTTTTATAAACAAATTTTTGCTATGAGGCATAAATGGTGCCTGAACAGATTCTTAGGAAGATAAATTACATGTGAGTCATACATCTTTGGGGGGCCATAAATATTTTGTTTTATTTTGTTACTGGAAACATTTCTGGTTTCCATTTGTAAACAATTTTCATGTATTGATTACATTTGAATACCTTTTAATTTTGCATGTGACTAAAAGATAGATTGCTACCAGCAAGTGAAACAAAAGTCTCTTCAGTCATATGTGAAGGTTTAATGGTTTTCCAATTGATTGATCATTGAATTTTTTTAAATATATATATATTAAAAAAAATATTATTTGAATAATAAACCAAGGTTTCATGTACTGTTCTGATTTTGTCTTTTTATGTTTTTCACTAAAAAGCTATTTTGGACAGTTGAAGAAATCAAATGGATTCAAATGGTTCCAGTTTCTTTACGTTATTACCGCAAAAAAAAAAAAAAAACCAAAACAAAAAGAAAAAAAAAAGAAAAAAAAAGAAAAAAGAGAGAACAAGAAAGCAAAAAGGAGCTAGGAAGGAACAAGTAGAGGCGTATCAAAGAACTCAAGCTATAACCAAAAAGAAATATGTAAAATGCCTTTGCTCGTCTTCTCAATGCTGGACCAAAGCTCAATGTATGTAGGTATATGCACATTGTATAGATATGGCTAAATGTTGCTGACAATCTCGCAATACTAAACTGTTACTATTTAAAAAAAAAAAAAAAGAAATACAAAAATAAAACTGTTCATCAGTGTTTTACCTCAGCACTCTACTTGTACCCAGTTATTGACCAACATTCAAATAAGAAGATAAGAAAGGAAGTTGATTTCCATGTCAATGTTTGACTGTAAAATCTGTTTGGAAAACATTTTGTAATGAGCTTTTTGTCATGTGGTTTGCTTGTTTCCAACTTGAGATTATGTGGGGCACATTTGTTTATTTATTGTTAAAAAGTGATATTATTATTATTATTAATTATTATTATTACTATTATTATTATTTTTGTCCTATGTGCTATAATCTACAGAATGGTCACCAGGGTCACTTATGAAGCACTGCAAAGAGATCTGTTTTTCCATGCATGGAGCATGCAGCGGGAAAGATGGCAGTACAAAATGGACTGTATTGTGTTGTTAAAAAATACGAATAATTACAAAAGGAGTTGATGTGGTGGACTTGTGACCAAGAAACCAAACTGGATATTTAAAAGCTCCTTACTACTCTGACTTTGAAACCAAAGCTGATTTATCTGCACAGGTTGCTTAACATGAAAAAAATAAAAAATAAAAAAAACTGACAAAAACTGTACTTAATCTAGAGCAATATCTGTATGGTCAGTAAAGCTGCACTTTGTGTATTTCTTAACAGCTTCAGATCTGTCACTTTTAATTTGTACCATAAAAAATAAAGAATTGTTTGACATGAAAAATAAGCTCCTTTCATGTGTTTGTCTTAAATCTCATGCATTATTCACATGATCCGAGCTCGTGTAATTTCACATCAGTTCAATACAAAAATAGTTAAATGCTCAAAAGAGAGGAAGAAATAAAATCCGTTTGCACTGTGGAGCATCACTTTATCTGCAAAACTAAAAACGCTGTTTCTGTACCCGGAGTGGGCCTGTACATTGGTGATGTCTCATTTTCTCTACAGATACGCAAAGTAGAGGATCTGCCTCAGGAATATCGTGGAATCACTCAGGTGAGTGTGTGTTATCCCTCGGGCCAAGTGGAGCAAAGCACAGATGGACATGAAGGCCAGAAACGGCGAGTGTCCCGGTGCTTCCACAGCTCCCAGCACAAAGCCCCGGTAAGTGATGGGAGGGGAGAGTGGTAGCAAGCTTGGGTCAGCCTTTCAGATTATTTCCCTTGCCTTTTTGCAGAACTCATGAGGTTCATTCCTCATTCTTTCTGTGATTATGACATTAGGTAACAGAAATGCCTGTTTTTCAGGCCATTTGCATTGAGTCA